TACTGAAATAAGTTGGTTCATTATAAAATTAATCCATTAAATACTAAATACAAATGCTGCGTTTGAGAATCCACATCGGATGCATCTGAGATGTAAAAAATCTTTGATCACGTGATTCAGTATACGTAAATGTAATGGGACAGATGTGTCCGATGTGGATAAAAAAACGCTCGATATGTAAAAAATGCATCCGATGTGGATTCTCAAACGCAGCAATATTGTATATGCAACAGAATAGGTCTTTTCCTTTGCATCGAAAGTGTAGCACTGAGTTACACCACTTCTGAAAATATCGTTCCATTTATACAAATTGTATGGATAGAACGATATTCCCAGAAGTGACGCAGCCCAGTGCTACACTTGCAATGCAAAGGAAAAGACCTTATGTAGCGTAATAATCCAGTTTCAACGTTGGGTTTTTAGTAATAGAGAGTTTTAGCAAATGTACGTAAGATTTCCGCTAACGTTACGTTAAACTTAGATTGTGACCTTTTTCATAAACATTGAACGGAGTAGATTACATTCTATCCCTAAGGTAACGTTAGCGGATTGTTAGCGGCTGTTTGCTAAAACTCCCTATTATTATTTCTATGGTTTTTAGTAGCAATAGCTTGTACTGAAATTCAGATCGTGATTGTACTAGAACGTACTAGATTTGGCGGTAAATTTCAAATGAGAAAACAAACTCATTTTAAACAGAAAAATAAATAAAATAGGTAAAACAAAAATATATTATTACGTTGGTAAATAAAAAATTTAAAAAGAAACAAAAATAAACTATATTTTAAACAAAAAAATATAAATTAAAATAGGTAAAACAAAAATATATCTTTACGTTTGGGTATTGCAGTAAAGCTCCTTTATGCTGAAAATACATACCAGCTACATCTTACCAAGACCAGCAACATATCCAAGTGAGTCTACGAAGAAAAATATGTGGTTTAATTATCTTATTATCAAAAACGCTGCATCAAATAAATGGTAGGTACTCTCTTACAACAAATGTATTTTCTGTCAACCAAATGTACGAGTTCTGTTAGTTGTAAAGTGTATTAATTCTGACACTTGATCACCTCTATGAAGTGGGTAAAGACGGTAGTTTATTAGTCGTTACCTAACCTCAGTATAAGGTACATTAAATCCATAACCAATTCTTCTTCTGCTAAGTTCTAGATTATTATTAACCATATTTGTAGTATTTAAATGCCGCTAGCATAAACATTTTCTTTACCCATTCGAATTTATTATAGATATTACATCAACAGATATAAGAGATTTGAAGATACCTTCAATGTCAAAGACACTGTAAAAAAATTGTTTTTTACAGCCATTATTCTTAGTGCTGCAGATATTTTTCGAAATTTTCTAAGAGTAACCATTGTAAAGGTTGGGATCATACGGTTCCTTTTCTTTGATAGAGTCGTTAAGCAAGATCTGAGTGAGCGTAATAATATCATATTGAGTATTCAAACATTCTGATAGAACTAAAAAACATAAAATAGAAACTTATTTCCCCTTCGATAAAATTCTTACGTAATACCTACATATTATGTTCAAAGTCATACCATTTTGGTCTTACTAGTATTATATATGATATTGCCTCAGTTTCAAAGCCAAACAAATATAGACTAACAAAATCCCAGGTAATCAGGGTTTGGGTTATATTGAACACAGAAATCGTTGAGGATGATTCCATTTTATTTACAGCATTGCAAGTTCATGGTTTGGTTCTTCAATATTTTTATTGAACTTAAACTTAGAGGTTTCCTAATGAGTTGCTCTTTTTGCATTCCCATTTTCACACTACTTTTTTATTTTTGCTACTCTAAGAACTTACAATATATCTTTAGTGTTTAATAACTTGTATTATTTGCGCCTGCTTGTCCAGAACTGCCATCATTCATAAATTCTAGAGCGACTATAATATAAGAAGTGATGCTGGATACGATGAAACCCATCATGGTGAAGTTTATACTGAAAAAACCGGATGCTGAAAGTTCTATGTTACTGTGTACAACTTGCTGGGCTAAAAATATAATATCCCTTTTGTAAAATTAATTTTTATTGGCATCGTTGATGATGTTGTAACATATTTGCACGGTCCTTTGCGCTTCAGTTGTTAAGTAATGACCAGCTGCTGCCAGAAATAAAGTTACTGCCTGAAATAGAATGTTCCAGTTAATTCGTAGTCCAATAAAATGCATTGGTACTGTATTAGAATAAAAAATTTGATGTGCTGATTATTAAAACATGTGAGATTTTTTTGTAGTAGCTCTAGTTTTTGAGATCAACAAGAAATGATAAATAAAAGATGTAAACCAGACAACTGAGGTGTTTATAAGTGTATTAGGCGAGTTTACTACGCAAAATGAATGGTTATTTACCTACGACTAGCTATATATACAATACCCACACTTTTTTCTTCCAAACAATTACCAATAACAAAGTGTAATTGGCCGAATGCACTAAGCAAATTCCAGTGAAGGAAAATGCCTAAAACTTTATTTTACGGATTAAACTTAACATCTGATGCATATTGTCTTTCGCTTGGTACCATGCTAACGACTTACCGTACCATCTATTGATGAATTTACTTTTCTTTTTTGGTGCCCAACGTGTGGCCTTTTAAATATAGAAAAATTACAATCAAAATACTCATTACAAGCCATAAGATGGCCGACTACTGTTGGAAGTCTTAAGTGATTTATATACTTTTTGAAATAATACCCTTCTTTGTATTCTTTTTTCTGGCAAACTGAAACGTACATAAGTTAAAAAGGCAAAGCGCATCTCAAAAACTAGATCTGATTGTGTAAATCTGACGATAATTTTGGATTCTGCTCCCAAAAATTACTTAAGACCAATTATAAATAACATATTTGTTGCGCTGTGAATCACTTACAAAATCCATGACTATGTTGAAGAAAGATCCAAACAATTGAAGCTGGATATCCAAACCTGCAATTTCGCTGGTCACTATGGCATAAAAAATTATGATAGATGTATGATAAACAATTGAACCAATAGTATACATCGTATGCAATAACATAACACTTCCAAACAATGTATTAATCATATCAGCCACATTGTATAAATAATTATGATATTTCGTTATCTTCCGCAAAATTGAAGAAACGTCATGTTTGAAATTAGTAATATTTCTGGAAGAAATAATGTCAATTGTTGTGTGTGGAATAAAGGTATCTATTAGCATATTGTTCAGCATTTTGAACCTCTTGAAAATGTCCAGATTCAACCAGAAATATACATACAAAGAAATGTTTAATTGAAAGTAGGAAATGTATTTTATGCATTCGAATTTTAACCTATCCATATTTTCCATGGTTAACCAAATATTGTAGAATATAATTCCGATGGTAAGGATGCTGGTTAGGATAAACAATTTAAAAAACGAATAATCTGACCTTTTCAACTTGTTTATACTCTTGAACTGTAAATCAAAATAGTCCAAAGAATCGATGATTTTCCGTAAATTATTGGGACGCTTCAGGATCGTCGATATAGAGTTACTGAGTACTGTTAGGTAAAGGAAAAAACAAGTAGATTGGTCTAGAACATTTAGCAGCCAATGCTGATAGAAATTGGCGTTTAATTTTCCAAAATAAGAGAAGAATATTGCACTCGAAAACACCATAATCAAAATAACCGAATAGATTTTGTAAATATTTGAATTTGTGTACGGTGGAACGATTCCAAAAATACTGAAAAATTTTAGGAACGATTTTAAACCCATAATGCAGCAGTTTAGTAAGAATTTTTAGGTTTAACTAGTACGTTTTCAAATAGTAGTGTAAAAATTACTAATGGGAAAATTATTCTTGACTAAAAAACCAGATCTGTAAGTGCAGTAATGGACTTTTTTATGCAGCATACTAATTGAGAGCGAGTTTGTTGTTATTGAAACATGTTTTACATTCAGATTTATAAAAGCTTAATTTTTTTATTGAAAAAAAGCTACGAGAAATGGTTAGAAAGTTTATTGCTTTCTAATATAAAAGAAAAATATTTTTCAGAGAGTTTAGGTGCTAGTCCGATAAAGTCAGGTTGGTGGGAAGAGGAGGAGATGTCATACAGATTTGTTGTTGTAGGTACTAATTAAATGGCACCAGAGCCGGCCCCAGGGTAGAGCGATCCGGGCGGCTGCCCGGAGCGCAATGATCTAGGGGCGCCAAAATTACGGAAAATGAAAATAAACTGATAAAAAAATTAAGTTACAGGCTTTTATTAAATGCACTAAAAAGTAAAGAATATTTTTTTATCATTCTGATATCATATCAATAAACTATTTTTCATAATATTGCATTGTTATCGGACCCTTGTAAGTATACCAAATTTCATTGAAATCGGTTCACGGGAATTTTCTCAAAAACGCGTTGCAAGATTTGACTGATAGTTGACAAGATTAAGGGCGCAAAATTAAGGTTTTGTCCGGAGCGCCAAAATGTCAAGGGTCGGCCTTGATGGCACCCCAAATAAAAGCCTACTTTAAACTATACTCTAGGGAAGAAAGGAGTGTAGATTGTAGTTTAAATTCAAATTTTAATACATCTGAACGGTCTAATAAAAGTTTTCCATGGTTTTTGCGGTAATAAACATTTTCTTTTGACAGATAAGTCAGACTTTACTCATAGATATATCGTATGCAGTTTAATTGATTTGGAATTTTCTATTGTATTTTTTTTTATTTGTTTTTCTTCGGCAAATTTTTGACTAGAAATTCTATAAAAAGTTTTTGGCTGACTGAGACTTTTCTTGTCAATTTTCAAGAATTGCCTTATCTTAGTAAGAAAGTATTATGTTGCCTATGTGTCTATATAGTCCACAATCCAGATATACTAATAATTTTATACTTATCGATGACATCAAATATCGTCTCTGTTAATTAATTTTATGAGTGACATAAACATGTCCTGCATTATCTGAATTTATCCTACCTCATTTATACTATTATGCAAACAGTGGCACACGCACTCGAATCTTATCAGCTTTTATCGAGTTTATGGCAACACGAAATTTCGGTGTGCCATCGCATTAATTAATATGCGATGTGCAGTGCAGTTTTCCGAAAGTTTTTCGTGATTTGTCCTGGAAAATCTAGAAGGACTGGTAAATATTTCAATTCGTGGTCGTGATATAGATGTTTAGTTATTTTTTCAGTAGTTTTATTTTTATGGGAGTTTAAAATTGGATTGTGCGTCACAAGATGAAAATTGGCGGTAGATGTTTCTGTTAAATAAAATATCTACAAAGCATTGGCTTAATAACAAATTGAATACTTTTAAATACCACTGTAAGCATTTATTTATAGTCTGATATTTGTGATATATTCAATTTTTAATAATAACAAAACTTAAGGGAAAGGAAACCTATTTTTCTTGTAAACCTACGGAAAGTATTTATTTTGTTAATTTTTAAAAGAAATTTGAAAAAATTATATGCCATTCTGCCTTAAATCTATGAGAAAAAGTTGTCTTCAGAAAATAATCATCCGCAAAACTCATAATACCACAGTTCGTGTCAAGAAGGAGAATGTTAGTTAGGTAAATAATGAAAAGTATGGGTTCCAACACTGTCCCTTGAGGCAATCCATAAGTACAGTCTGTTCGCTATACTTACGCGGGTTTCGGATTAAAAATTTTATGAGTATTTCCAGATAAGTACCCGAAAGTTTGACCTGTTCTTTGAGGAAATATATAAAGTCAAATGAAATGAAAAATAATGTACAACTTTTTAATTAAATAATAATGGAGAATCTTTTGTATAATTGAGAGCAGAATTGAACTTCTTCATTAATGGAGTCTAATGTGGCTATTATAAACCTAACAATAATTTTATATTACACTTCACACAGAAAATATGGTCTATGTATAATAAGAGGGTTATTTAGCTCAAATAAAATATTTTCTAACATAAAAATTTGTTTCATGTAGAAAATTTCAAATGAAAAATAAAAAAATTGAACTTGCCAACAAAAATGAAAATCAGTCATTATCATCCAAAATATCATAATCGTCATCCTCATCACTTTTATCACCATTAATTGTTATTATGATTGGACTTATTTGTTTATTTTATTTTCACGAGTTCACCAATCTTCTATTAGTTTCTCGCACTTGGATATACAGTTCCGCCACACTTCTGGAATTGCAATTGAAAGTGCTTTTCGCCAAGTTTCCCGAACTGCGTCGTCACTATAACCATTAGGCCCAATATGGTTGTCATAATATTGTTTTGCTATTCCCCTTATATATTCGATGGGATTAAACTGGCAATGATACGGTGGCAGACGTAAAACTTGATGAGCGTAACTTTCAATAATCTGATCCATAACAAAGGTTTTTGGTTTTGCGTGTATATTTGCCATGCGTAATAATTCTGATTTTAATATATATTGAGTAAATGGTATATGTTCCTTTGTCAACCATTCTTTAATTTTATTAACAGTCCAAGAATTCGTTGGACTTTTGTTTAATACTTCAGAATGGTAAGGTGCATTGTCTACAATAATTACGCTAGGCTCACTTAAACCTAGGAGAAGTTTTTCATGCAACCATTTTACAAACATTTCTGTGTTCATATTATCGTGATAGTCACTGGATTTTGATTTAGATGAAAATATTAAATCAGCACCTTCTATAAAACTCGATTTCCCTCCTGCATGTAAAATTATGTGTCGCTTCCCTTCTCCATCGCTATGTTTAATGGACTTTACGTTATCATCTAGCCATATTCTCTTGGTTGCACCTCTAGAAAATATCCATGTTTCGTCTAAATATATAAAATTTGCCCCTTCTTCTTAAAATTTAGAAAATTTTCTTAGAAAGTTAATTCTCTCGTGCACGACAGAACTTCTTTCACAAAGAGTCTTTCTGTTATCCTCCTTTTGAAATTTGAAACCAAAGTTATGTATCACTTGCCATAGACTTGTTCTGCCAATGTGGTCAAATTTTCTATCTAATAATTCCGAGAGAATTGTATTTAAGGTCACATGTTCCTTGTTGGCCCTCATTCGATAAATAGTATCACGAATGTCAAATTTCTTTCCATCAGGAATATCTTTCGTTTTCAATGATGGGCGAGTTTTGCGGTGTTCTTCTTTCGGCAGTTCACTATTGTGATTTTGTAATACTCCTCTTAATTTGGTTTCACTATTTCCTAGAGCATCGCATACGCGTTGTTGTACAGACATTACCGATTTTAAAGGACCGCCATTTTCTTTTTCATTCGTAAAATACTTATGTACACTACACATTAGACTATCTACATCTAACACACGTCTAGGCATTTTTAAAATTTCCACTAAATTTACAATATACATACAATGTCAACACTTGCAAAGAATCAATTCAACTGCAATATTTGTAACAAATTTAGTACCTACCGTAATGTTATTTTAATTTAAATCTGACTATTAGGGCAATTTTACCTAATTTCTTGGGAAGAGGCTTAATGGAACTGGTTGTCAATGACTAATTTGCATAATTTTGTTAATCCGAAACCCGCGTAAGTATAGCGAAAAGACTGTAATGCGTTTGGCACTATTTATAAATAGTTACTCATTTTCACCTTTTGATTTCGATCTGTTAAATAACTTTTAAAAATTCATGTACATGGTTGAACTTTTGCTTAAACCTCTCGTCTGTGCTGATGGTGTTCAACTCTTCTTGCATTATCACATTGACTTCTGCCATGGTTGTGATATTGTACAGATTCATTATCTATTGAGGAATTTGTAAATTTGATAGATCCTCAAACCTCTTAGTATTGTGTAATGCGTCCAAGAGAGTAACATATGATAAAATAACATCGTCTTAAAGCACTTCTGGTAATTTTGACAAATGGGGGGGGGGGGGGGGGGGGGTAAAGGGCTATAAGTCGAAAATATTCAAAATTGAGTTAAATCTACCGCGATACTTCTAAACTCATTTTGTACCCCTGGGAAAAGGTATATAAGTAATGGGAAAAAGGGATATAAGTAATTTAAGCCTTACAAAATTTGGGTATTTATAAAAACCGGTATTCAAACGGGAATATTACAACTTTAAACTCAGCTTACCATTAGCTTACCATTATTGTTGATTTAGGACATATACCCCTTTACCCCCTCCCCCAAGTGCCTAATGTGGAACCCGTGAATAGTCTTTTCTGTTTAAATTTTGTTTATAAAGGATAAGTTTGTTTACCTACAAAGGCCGATAAAAAAGCAGTTCTTGGACCATATTTTTATCTTTAATATAGCTAACATATCATAACAACAGAGCTTCATTGCCAGGTAATGTAGACTCTTCCAACTCAAGAAAGAATATGTTGATCTGTAAGAAATTACATAAAACGTTTTCTACATCTTGACCGATCTCTTATATTCGTCTCTGAACAGTGTTATTGCTTAAACGAGTTCTCTTTATGTCTTATAGTATATTTAGTAAAATTGAATGGTCTATAGCAGAAATATTTGAAGGAGCCCTAAACACATTTCTAAAAAAAGGTCCTAAAGTAAAATATTATATGCTTCTTCCTCTTAGTGACTTAAAAAAAGTTCTCAAGCCGATAGTACTGTTTTTTTTTGAGTAACTTTAAGTAACGCTGGTATATAGTGTCTTTGCCCAATCTATAAAAACACCAACTGATGACATGAACTTATCAAGACTATTATAGATATTTTTAATTAGGACCTTTAGAGCCTCTTGGTTAAACATATTTTTCCTAAACCCGCGTTTTGTATCTGACAACAACTGGTAATTGTCCAAGAATTTGTTCCTTCTCTATGATTTTTTCAAGTACGAATTACAAATTAATGAGATCGGTCTGTAAATGCTTTTCTACTTGTTTGAAAACTTGAATGACTGTGAAAAGTTTAAAAGCCGATGGAAAACTGGCCTTTATTTAGTGACAAATTTATCCCAACCCGGATATTTGTTATGTGTTATTTGCATTATAGTTTGTTTAATTTCATCTTCATCCTAAGAATACAGAAATATTGAATGAGTGCATGTTCTCTTCATCTCAATATAATTTGGATTTCTATTTATTTTGTCAGCCAACTTCTTATCTATTTATATAAGATAATTTATGGGGAAAATGTAGTACTTAGTATGTATAGTTTGAATCTGTTTTATTCATTTGTATGCTAGATATGTCGCTTTATTATATTCATATATATGTCTAGTTTACGTCATAATAGAAGCGATCTTTTCTATTTATATAAATGTGTATATAAGTGTTTTATTTACGTATTATATTAAATCGAGAAAAGTTCTAATTTTATTATCTATCATTTTTATCTACTAATTTGTTATTTTCAGCGCCCACTAGCCAATATTGAATCAGTTTATTAATATTTGTTTATTAACTTCAATATTTTGCTTTCCTATATTAATGAAAGAAGCAAATAAAAATATATTATTGACAAACTTCCTTGCTGAAAATTGTTCAAATTACTATAAATGACATATTTTGAAGAATATATTGGTTTAGATTAAGGTTTAGTAAAATATCTCATATAACAAGTGTCAAAATGTTAACTATTTTCGAGCAAAATGCAAAGAAAATCCTTGTTTTTTTAATAAAAACGGCAACAATGCAGATTGCGGATATGTCCTTGTTAATACCCCAGGATTATATACTATTATAACACAGTATAGATTTATTTAATTTAAAATTGAACGTCACCGTTGTTTGTTGTCAAATCAAAATTCTATTGTTTTTATTTTTGGTAAGTTTTGTTTTGTGTACATTTTCAATAGTTAATATTTTGTTTTATATTGAAATTTAAAAGTAATTTACCCTTAACTAAAAAATATATATATTTTACTTGTATACTACATAATATTTTCCAAATTTGATACATATTTGTGAAATGTAAGATAAACTTTTCACTTTTATATAAAATTTGTTGGAGCACCCTGTATATAGCGCCCTTCTAAACCAAGTAAATCATGGTTTAAGTTAAAAAACGAACTTTAAATTTTAGGTTAATTTAAAATTAACCCGTCCGAATTATAAATAGAAAATGCATTTCAAAGTATTCTAGACTCAAAAAATTATTGGCATTAAGTTTATTAGCATCCTGTACAAGTAATAATAACTTTTATAGGGGGTATAATTAATTTCTAAATATATGAAATTAGCTGTTCTAAAAACTATATTAATTTTTCTAAACCATAACGTTTTGGTATACCCTCTCAAACTGTTAATGTCAATAAGTTATACCTAAGTGGCAACTTTACAACATTTTTAAGAGTTGGACACTTATGTTTGACTTATTTCTCAGTTTTGATATAACACTACATATTATATTCCTTTAATTTCATTTAATTTTTGCAATTGTTTCAGCTGCAACCTGTCCAAATGCTGACCGATATACGTCCATAGCTGATTCACACAAAAGCAGCAATATGGTTACAGGTATATCTTTATAAATCCAATAATTTAGTCAAAAAAGGAAATCAAGTATGTTTTAATATCCATGGTTTGCAAGTATTCAGCTAAAATCAGTGGTGCAATTGCAACAAAGAAACCCCTAATAAAAGTTTGTTGTTTTCCTTGAAACTGAAAAACAATGTAGGCAAATGTGGGTTACGACATAGTTTTTGATTCCCTATTTAAAAATAAAGTTGAAATCCGGTAATAAAAGTGCATTTTACAGGGTAGTTCCGCTTTTAAGTCACATTGTACGATTAAAAATATATTAGTTTACTTCACATTCTATTTTTTCTATAGGTATAACTTAAAGCAATATTAAATTTCAGAAGAACAAGTTCGGACATTTCTAACCGACCACCCTCATGTTTTGGAAGATTTCGTCTTGGACACCGTCGAGATGGAACAACTGGAACGATGGCTCATCAGAAAATCGAAACAAGGAAAAAGGCTGCAAGAAACATCTCTCGTCGATAGAAAAACGAGCTTGTCTAAATGGAAATTTTGCGTTCACGCCGACAAGCGTCAAATGTTACAGAACCTAACTCACAGCCTGCAGGATAAACCGACGCAGGATTACGTGCTCTGGGAGCTGGCGAGCTGCATATCTTCGGCTGTCAAAGCGGATGGTTTCAGGTCTAACATATTATTTTTTTTTGCATTTTGCTTATTAACAACACAAAATATTGTTATGATGTTGTCCCCTTTAAAAAACATGTTATATGTTTAAAATGTACCCTTGCGCTCTTCAATATAAAAAATCGTGGAAGACCATCAAAATATATAACAAAAACAAGCACTTTTATCGACCTTGTCCCTTAGTAATAACATGATGCCTCCAAAACCAAATTTCATTGAAATTTTTAACATTAACCTTAGTATTTTTCTATTTGAAAATAATTATTCCAATGAATATGCATTTATTCAGTTATTCTGTAGGAGAAGGGATCCATAGAATGAAAATAATCAAGTTAAAACAAAAATGTGTTATAGAATTAGATTTTTCAATGTAGCAGAAGCACAAACTAAAATTTGTGTAAAGATGTAATAGGTACAAGATGAGTGCAAAATAAATGGCGCAATTACAATGAGAGTTGAATAGTTATTTTTCAGTGCTCCAGATGCATATCAAAAAGTGTAGGTTTAGCTATATAAACAAAACCTATCTGATTTTTTTATGTACACAGTTTATGTGAAACCAACTGAACATATTTTTCTCTTTACCATGTGTTAATTCATCCAATTAATTTTGACAAAATCAGGCATTACCCTTATTATTAGAAAACCATTGTTTTGCTTAAATTTAATAATACCAGAACACCTCTTTTTAATTTTAGATTGTACATGGTTGACCAAGAAGTTCCCAACCAACTACACCTTCATTTGGGATTAGATCACAAGAAAAACAATACACCAAAGTTGCAAAGAATGAAAAACTCTGTATCTATTCCATCACATGTCGCACGAACTCAACAACCCGTGAGGTTTTCCAGAGGTTTAATCGATGCCAGATTTTCTGAAAATGTGATAAATGAGGTTAGTATGTTGGTTTTTCTATTATATTATTCTATGTAGCATGTTTTTGATTATCTATTACAGTTGGTATGAAACTGTCAATGTCAATGGTTATTTTAATACTAGATCCTGTTTCAACAATGATCAGGTACCAGAAAAGTCTTTAAATTTACAATTCCAGTAAATATTGACATGCACAGGACAAAAAAGTTCATTCAATGTGTTATGAATAGAGTTATATTAAACCTTTACGAATAATAGTATATGTTTTCATACTCATTAAAAGATACCAACCAAAATATTTCCAACCTTGCGGTATTAAAAGTACTTAAAAATCAACTGACGAGCACAACATCTAAACGTGAAACATCAAAGACGCTGGCTAGAGATTAATTTTACTTCCTGTCTACCTCCATTCAGTGGTATTAATAATAATAACCATCTTTATTGTTTAAGCTTCACAGCGAGATGGCACACATACAATGCCAACCGATAGTGGAGTCAGATGGAAAATTAATCGCCGTCCTGGAACTTTGGAGACGAGAATCAGGCGGAGCGTTTTACGAAGAAGACGAAGAAATAGCCTACAGTTATTTGGTTTGGGGTGGAATAGCTCTCCATTACGCCCACCTCTATTTAAATATGAACCAACAGAAGAGTTTGAATGATTTTCTTCTTGCAGTAGTCAAGTAAAATAATTTTTTGTAACTTACCAAAATTTACTCTTTCGTTAAAGCTTCCATTGATTCTAACTGTGACGATCGTATAAGTAATTCATATTGTGCTTATTAGATTAATTTTTTCCATTCTCTCTATAGTCGCTGTTTTCTTAGTCTTGTAACATTGTCATCTCCATTATTTTCTTACCTATTCTGTTTTGGTCCAGCAATCCATCAATCCATAATTGTTTGTTTGTTATTTTGTATTCCTAGATCGATTTTCCAAGATATGGTCAGCATCGATAGCTTGGTGATTAAGATCATGAACTTCGCTCAACGACTGGTGGACGCTGACCGAGCCTCTTTGTTTTTGGTCGATGCAAGAAACAAAGAACTCTACGCAACCATATTTGATGTTGGTATTGGTGATGATTCAACGGTAGAAATAAGATCTCACTCTTCCAATGACGACGAAGTCAGAGTACATCCTTCTAAAGAAATACGTTTTCCTTTAGGAACTGGAATTGCTGGGCAAGTCGCCATGACGGGGGAGATTTTGAATATCAAAGATGCTTATGCTGATTCTAGATTCAATAGGGCTGTTGATCAACTTACAGGTAAGTTGACTTATTTTCATTACTTACAGTACTACTTAGAATAGACTTACATTAACCAACAGAATGTTTATGTGGTGTACCTCTGTGAACAGTATTAGGAACTCTTCTATTTATATTAATATTCCAAATAGAAAATAAAAGGCATGTTGGTAAAAAATTATGAGCAAATAGTAATCCCCTTTGCAGAATATCTGTAATTTCAGAACACATTAGTAGGGATAGAACTCCTCCTTGTGGACATTCTCTGGTTGTGCAAATGGAGATGATGTCCTGCCCTAGTTATCCAGTTCTCGTTGATAACAGCTGAGCCATCCATCTGTATGTGATGTTATCTACTCCTCTGTATGCAAGTGCACTTTTTAGAGATTCGTGTGGCGTGTTGTCAAAGGCTCCTTCTATGTCTACGAAGGCACACACGACCGTTTCTTTGTTTGTCAGTGCATCCTGGATTACGTCAGTCAAATGTACTAGGGCAGTTTCTGTAGATCTTCCTTAGACGTACCTTACCGAACAGGTGTAATATTGCAAAAAATAATCCTAATTAGATTGAAAGTAGCGCAGATGATAAATTCACAATAATTGAATATGAAGCTTCTGACTGGAATTCCTTTTTATAATCTTTGCTAAGGACACATTCATTGAATGAGTACTCGTATACAGACTTTAATAGGTTTATCTTAATAACATAATACTTTTATTGTAGGTTACACAACGCACACAATTTTATGTATGCCGATCTACATCCGAGGATCCATCATTGGCGTTGTTCAAATGGTCAACAAACATAAAGGATATTTTACAAAGAACGATGAAGAAGCATTTGAAACTTTTGCTGTTTATTGCGGATTGGCTCTTCATCATGCCAAGCTTTATGATAAAATACGAAAATCTCAACAAAAATACAAGGTAAAAGTCAATAATTGATTAGGATTAATTAAAACTATAAGAAGAAGTTTCAATAATTAATGCTAATATAGTTTTGTCTTTACAACAGGTAGCCTTGGACGTTTTGAGCTACCACAACACCTGCACTGAAGAAGAATTTGAATCGGCTCTTCGAACTGGAATTCCGAAAGACTCGATGGGCATAGATGATTATTACTTCAATCCTTTCGAGCTCAAAGACATGGACAAAGCTAAATACGCGATGTTTATGTTCAATGATTTATTCGGCAGCGGTGGTTTCGATCAAGCTTGCCTGTTGAGATTCATCTTGACGGTTAGGAAAAATTATAGACGAGTGCCGTATCATAATTGGACACATGGTTTTTCGGTTGCCAACAGCATGTACTGCATTATCAAGCAAGCGAACGGAGCTTTTAATAAAAACGAGGTATAGTTTTGTTCTATTCGTTGGTACAATGCCAAAACCACGAATGTGCAAATTTTCTGTCTTAGATATTACATTAACTGCTAAATTCTCACTTTTTTAAAATAAACATCGGGCGTAGGGTAGAGGGTAGTCAGATTATCAAGGCACATTTGCTGACTTTGGCATTGATAACTTTCAAGATGCTAAAAAAGCTAAGAAATGCCAAATTTACACATGTGGTTTTGGTATTGCACCTATCTGTATCTTGGCACATTATTCAATATATTTTTAAACCAGGCATGTCCACCTTTTTTATATAGACAAATGTAAACTTGGGAATAATGTTTGTTAATTAAACTTTTTATTCCTTTTTGGTTCACCCCTTTTTCCTTCTTTGTCCCCTTTTCTCTTTTTTTTTATTCCTTTTTCTATTCCTTCTTATCCTTTTTTGGGGTTGGTGATGATGATGCTAATCCTTCTTCATGTCTGTTTCTTTTACATGCCTGTATAAAGTTATTTATTTTTATTTCAATTTTAATTTTTAATCAAATATTTATATTATAGTTATCTTATTATAATGATTGAAATAATTCTAGAGTTTAGCTTTATACGTGGGAGCACTATGTCACGATTTGGATCACAGAGGAAAGAATAACAAGTTTATGCTTGACACAGAATCTCCTTTGGCTGCAATTTATTCCACTTCTACCATGGAACACCATCATTTCAATCAAGCTGTTACTATTCTTCAACAGGTACATATATTTCCAACTATATTTATAGATACTGATAAGTAGGTATTTTACTGTTTTACTTTTGTTTATTTCAGGAAGGACACAATATTTTCAGCAAGCTAACGAATAACGATTACAAGCAAGTACTCGGTTACTTAAAGCATTGCATTCTCGCTACCGATTTAGCTTTGTTTTTCCCCAATAAAGCGAGGTTAGGAGAACTAGTGCAGACCAAAACATTTTCTTGGAATAATTCCACTCACAGGGGCCTGATACAAGCTATAGCTATGACTGGAAGCGATTTAAGTGCTAACGCCAAGCCCTGGGATATCCAAGTAAAAACTGTAGAGGTAATTATAAAATTATAGTCTACATATTGTTTTAATTAAAAACTACGACAATTAACAAAATTATTATTTGGTATAATTTTGAAATTTTACTATATCTATTGTTTACCATTCTCTTTCCAGATGTTGCGTTATGTGCTCCTAAACAAACTTTTTTGTTTTGATAAAAGATTGTTATTGTTGTAGGTAATTTTTGAAGAATTTTACGATCAAGGTGACGCTGAACGTGCAGCTGGAAGAATGCCTATACCTATGATGGATAGACAGCAAACCAATCAACAGGCATCCAGTCAAGTTGGTTTTTTAACAGGCATTTGTATACCGTGTTACAATTTACTCCACACGCTAATACCAGAAACTAAGGCGTTGTTGGATATGTGCAAGAAAAACCTGGATAAATGGAGTCAAATTGATGAAGATATGAAACAAAAAAAATAATATTTGTATTATTTTAGGAACGTGTTGGAAATTTACTTTTTTTTATTTCTTTTATTTGCCATTCTCTTTCCAGATGTTGCATTTATGTGCTCTTAAATGTTTTGTGTATATTTTTGTTGATTCCAGTGCCTTTTTTATTTTGTATACCATTCGTTTGGTTAAAATTATTAATGAAGAACTTCACGATCAAGGTGATGCTGAAAGAATGCATATACCTATAGTGGATAGCCTGCAAACCAATCAACGTTTGCATACCATGCGAAGGTATTGCTGGATACGTGCTAGAAAAATTGATGAAGATTTAAAACAAAATAGTATTTGTTTTATTTTATGAATTTGTTGAAAATTGAAAATTTCAAATACATTAATGATAGCAGAATAAGATATACATTGAAGTAGAAGAATTCAAATAAACCGACCACTTTTTTTATTAAATGAATCTCTATTATTGACATTTTACATTTTACATTATTTTTGAAAACTTTCAATTTAAAAAAAAAGAATGTCGCTGAATCGTCATTTGGCTACATTGAATTACTTTTCCTAAATTATTTTAAAGAATGTATATATTTTAAATTATACGTAGCGAAAGGTAAAGTCTCAAGGATGAAGAAATTAGTTAAATGAAATTGTTTAGAAAGTCTATTAATTATTAAAAATGTTAAATTTTAAAATTAATTTATTAGCTGAAAATGTATGTAGGTCTACAATAAAACAATTTAAAATGTGTTGTTTTTATCATATTTTTTCTATATTCGGTTTTATCCACCCATTACTGCCCTTGTTAATGAAGGTTTTTAATGTTTCTTTTGTGATATTTCTTTCTTTTTTTATTATTGTCATCGTTTGATGTTTCTATGGTCAAATTTGGTGATATTAAACGCAGACGCTGATGTTTAAAATTTTATTGACATGCAGAAAAAAAATATTTCTATAAATTCGTTTGGGACACAGAAGAAAACTAACTTTTTTCCAACACGCGTATTGTTAAGGAACAAGCTTTCTTTCCTAGAGTTAATAGAGGTTAAGTCCAGATTTATTCTGGCGCTACTATATGATGCGCTGATTTGTCACACGAAATTTTATCCAGCGCAATATTTGAAAGCGCTCTTTGTTAACAGAGCCACCCAAAACATTAAATTGCATAGTTAACTTCAATTTTTTTCTTGATCAGAGGTCCTTAGAAGGTGATGTACCATTTGACCATTATAAGAGCTAGATAAAGTATGTTTTAACATCATGTATCCAACTTCAAGATCTGGCCATTAGATGATTGGTCAATCTTTTGACAGGTTATTAATACTAATGTTCACGGAGCATATAGGTAATTATTCATATATTTATATAGGTAATTAAGGTTTACAGATTTAACATTAATTTGCCTTGTTATAAGAACCACATTTTATTGCAATTAGAAGATCCTCCATGTGAAATTTTTTAGGACTGGCAGTTATAATTTAATACCTACTCTTCTATAAACATAACATCAAGATCAAGAATATACACTATTTTTCTTATTTAATTATTGTTGTTTCGTACACTATAGAAATGGTAAAAAATAATATTGTCCTCACTTTGTTTTGTTGAAATTTATGGGTGGTTATTATTATAGGTATGTGGTATATAGTATTTTTCTTCTCGTTGTTTTCACTTTTCATTTTGTTTGTTACATAGAGAATAATCATACATTAATAAGTTGCCATTATTACTCGATAAAGATAAAATTAACTGAATTTTTCTAACAGTTCGCAGTGTTTTCATTTGCGGTACCTCACCTTCTACCGACCTCTGGTGGACTTTTTAGTACTATGCACTGTTTGGTGTCATATTTTAAAAACAGTTAAAACACCTGTAAAATGTCATTCATCGTGTGTCAAACACACTTGAAACTCAGAACCTATAAAGTGATCTGTATTAAGCGCAGTAATGTGAAAATAAATAAAAATATTAGGGAATAAATTTTATTGAAATATAATAATTATTTAAAGTTTAGGTTGCGCTGCATATATTTCTTCTTCAATGCCACATTCATTAACACCTCTTCTGATCTTAAATAGACCGGCATCGCCCCATTCTTCGTTCCAAGAGTTAGCAACTAGCCAATACGCAACGTTGTTTTCAGTACCCCATCCAATGATTCTTATTGAATGACCACCTGCCTCTTCTCCAGCAAAGTTTTTTTTAATGTTAATTTCATATGCCATCTGCCAAATTTAAATTAATATTGTTTATATTCTCTAAAATGATGATAAATCTACATTTCTCTCAAAGTTAATGACTTTTAGCAAGATTTTGTTTATCTAAATTAGATATAAAGTTGTCATAATCTAATTGCTTTGCCTGTTCCAACTTATCATTGTAACCCGTTATCATTGTAAAGTTTTTTATATATCTTATAAATCTCATAAAACTGTTGACCTAGTCTTGAATCTGCTATAATTTTGTAGATTTCAAAATAATTTCTTATTTCTTTTAAAGTTTCATTATATTAAAAGATCTGAATGGTATATAAAGCTGTCATAAGCTAATTGCTTTGCCTGTTTCAACTTATCATTGCAAACCGTTGTTCTGGACTTGTATCTACTATAATTTTGTGGGTTTCAAGAGAGGTTCTCATTTTTTTTTAAGTATCATTATACCAAAAGACAGGGTGCTTTGTATCTAGTGATTTTTTTTTATTTGAATATTATATAAAGCTGTCATAAGCTAATTGGTTTGCCTGTTACAACTTATCATTGTAAACTGTTGTTCTTGACTTGCTTCTGCTTTAATTTTGTAGGTTTTAAAAGAGGTTCTCATTGTTTTTAAAGTATCATTATACCAAAAGGCAGAACACTTTGTATTTATTGATATTTTTTACCTGAATGATATATAAAGTTATCATAAGCTAATTGCTTTGCCTGTTTCAACTTATTATTGTAGTTTTTTTATATGCATTATAAATCTCAAAAAACCGTTGTTCTTAAGATCATCGGAGACATTGTTTGGCTCAGGTAGGTTAAAGATTAGCAAGTTGTTGGCTCCATTTTGACGTTCCTGAAGTTCGGTAATAATGTCCTCACTAATCATCGGGATGTCGTTCTTTCTATCTTTGAGCTCTTTGACTCCATCTTTCAATGAATTTACTTCAGATCTAAGGCTATGAATTTGTCTCAGCAGTGCGGGTACACTTTTAAATGCGTGGCGACAATCCCCGCAAAAATAAACCAGAGTTCTTTTTTGTAAAACAATAGCACGCAGTTCAGACGCCCCCAGGCCTGCGCAATCCTCTGAGGGCTGTATTGAGACATAACAACTATCGCAAGCAATTAGCTTATCTCCGAGAACATCACCGCAAGTTACATAATTACTAGCTATTTAGAATGAACAAATCAGTAAAATTTCGCTCTAAGCTACCAGACTATTTGTAATTAAAAGTCGCTTAATGTTGTTGATCAAGTCGTTAAGATTTTGCTATAAGCTGCCAGACTATTAGTAAATGAATAAAAGTCAATATTTGTTATCAGGAACAGGTTTTTTGTGGATAGTTTTTACTTCTTATAATTGATAGATAAATGCAGAGAATTAATTAACTAATACTAATAGTGCTATAATTTTGTAGGTTTCAGAAGAGGTTCTCATTTCCTTTGAAGTATCATTATACTAAAAGACAGGGCACTTTGTATCCATTATGTGAAGATAAATAAAAATAAAATTATTAAAAAATCAATACAACTTTATTGAAATGTAATCATAACTTAAACTTTAGCTTGCGCCGCATTTATCTCCATTTCAAATGAACATTCATCAACACCTCTTCTGATTTTGAATAGACCATCATCGCCCCAATCTTCGTTCCAAGAGTTAGCAACTAGCCAATAAGCAACGTTGTTTTCGACACCCCATCCAATGATTCTTACTGAGTGCCCACCTATCTCGTCTCCATCCACGTAATGATAGACACCTAGAAATAGTATAGTATATATTCATCCGAATAGGTATTTAAATATGACCTAACTATCAAGTTATTTTGGGAAAATATCGTCTATGGGGATGGGAAGAATAGAGTTTCCTTACAGCAGTTAGGTCTCACCAAGTTGTTAAACCAATTTAAGGAGAACCATCGATAACAAGTTGTATACATTTTGGGAAAAATTCGTCTATGGAGATGAGAAGAAAAGGATTTCCTTATAGCAGTTAGGTATCTCCAGGCCCACTGTGCATTCTCTTAAATTAATGAGGCCTTACGTAGCATTTCAAAGGTAAATAATATGAATTTTATTTTAACCATTGAGAGAAAGCCACTATAGGCTTTCATAGCCTCTTCAACCGCACTGGAGGAATCAGGAATTTGAAGTCTGAAGGTATAAGGGCATGAGGTTGAAGGAATAGTGGTAGATGTCTGAGAGAATGTAACTGACCCTGCATTTGCGAATAGATTTGTGAGAAAATCTTTAAAAAAATCGTATAGCAAGTCAGGTGGCAGAGGGGATCGAACCCACTACCTTCAGAATGCAAAGAAGATACGTTATTTCAGAGCTACCTCGCTCGTCAGCTATCCTACAAACTTTATGTAGCTTATAAAGTCTCACAGCGGTTTAAAATTACGAAAATGTGACCAAAATTTTAATGTATTCCATGATAAACATCTCATATGTTAAGGTAGGCCATATGAAGGCCTTGTACGTCCATGTACGGATACAATTTCATTATATTCTAATTAAATCGTTTAAAAATTATGGTGTGAAGTCCCATTTATTTTTAGGTATCTCCCATTAAATAAAATTATATTGGAGATGTATATCGAGAACTATATTTTTTGCAGAGTTGTGTATAAATAAAAATAATAACACAGTCTTAACATACTTGTCAGATGTATGTATTTCAAAAATGTTTATACAAACTTACCACTTTTATAATTTACGAAGTCCTCATATAAAACAAAAGAAGCCGTAACCGGTCCATTTTGTAAAATTTCTCTCTGCACATCCTCAACTGTTGCAAACTTTTCTGCCATAGATTTACCATATGTCAATTCAGACCTATAGTTCAAACCACTGGAACTACAACTTCTTGTACAGTCTGGTGTATCATAAGACAAAGTTGAACACTGTACGTATTTGCCTTCGAGCCAGTTGTCGCAAGGTTGGAACGGATAAGGTTTACACCCCTTAAATAGGAAGGAATATAATGAAAATATTAAGTAGTTTTATAATATATGGACTAAAAATATTTATAAATTACCATAATTATGTTTCTCAAGCTAGTTTTAGGTATAATCACGTACCAAAGAACTATTATATCTGCCTCCAGTGACGATACCTGATTGAAACCAATAGTTCCATGCTGCTTGAGTAGAACCTCCATCGCAACCCAACCAACAAGATGTATCCGTACAACACGTCAATACGTCTTCTGCAGAAACAGGTACTTGAAGGGAACCACCGGATGCAATGCATCGCCTGTCGCTCATAGCGGAAGTTGTCGATACAGCCTGCAAAGAAGGTTAAATATACTGTCATTGCAAATATTTTAAGCAGTGACAAAATGGTTCTGCTAAATTTTATCAAAAATTTACTATCTAGATTAGTTAAACTTAAATACAAATAATTAAAAAAAAAATAATTGTCTAATTTTCTTAAAACGAAATTTAGATCTTTTGCAAATGTCTGTTTTTGCATTCAATGAATTTTGTAAATTACGTTCTTGCTTCAAAGAAAGTGATACTTACTTTTGACGCCCTATTATCGAAGAATCCTCGGGCGCCAGTTTAATATATGTGGTTTGCTCCATTGAAGATGGCGGAAAAAATTAAAGGGTCACCGTTAGCAACAGACATTTTTTTATTTCAATATTTATTTGAAAGAAAATAATATTCATTTGAAAGAAAATAATATTCATTTGAAAGAAAATATTACGGTGTGATATATTTTTGAAAGGGGATTTAATGCAATACAAATCCAACATGGCGTTCATAAGAAAACAAAGTAATAGTCATTATCTTGTAAACGGTAAGAAATATTCCTTTGTTTTATTTTTTAATATAAAAATCTTAGAATTTTTAAACCAAAATATCATATGTTTTTAAATAACCAAGATACAGTGGTTTGTCAAAAATTTACCAATTTGGTGATATTTCCCATTTAACCAATTGTGTTTAATTAAAGTTGATATGGTCTTTTACCTAAATTAGAGTAAAGTATATTTCTACCGTACTACCTACCAAACTCGAAAAAGATGGAGATTTGAAGAAAGTCAAAAAAGTGTGACGAAGTCACTAATTTTCCATTAATGTATTCCCTAAAATAATTTCTAAAACTAATTTCCGTCTATGAACATTTGCGAGACCCCCTGTAACTAATATTTCCATAGAATTACGGTTTTTAAACCTTTGCAAGAGCCCTCGTAGTTTAAAACTTTTCATTATCATAATAAATTAAATCCTTAAAATATATTTGGTTTTAATTCCTGAGTTTAATTTTGAGATACCTCTTTACTTTTTTTCGTTTTCAGAGGTTAGTTCTTAGCAGATAAAAGCGCAGTGCGAAATTTTATTGTTACCTTTATTTTATTGCCCTCGTGTAGGTCAAATAACCAATGAAGGTCTGGTTGTTTTATTTATTTTCTTTTTTTTGAACCTGGACTCCACTAAGTCTGCTGAGGGTGTACTCTAGGTGCACCCCAGGGCCGCAGAGTAGACTGCGTTACCAAAACTGGCGTCTGAGTAACCCTTGTTCGAAGAACAGCCTAGCGCTACTCCAACCCTTTTCTTTATTTTTAGGGGTGAAGAAAAGGGGGTTACAAAAGATTTAAAAGAGTAAGCTTATATTCAAGTTACAGTTGATTTATAAATTATAGACAGTGTCGCTTTCTACTTCGCTTTGCCAAAGGAAAACTACAGAGAGTTAGTATTAGGACTAGCAGGAAATGCATATTTCTCGTTGTGTGCCTATTCGCATCGAACAGCGTTGATATTATCCTTTTCTTGCTTTTCCCTGTAGTTTTCACTTAGACATTAGCGAAGCATTTTGAAGAGTGTTCAATAGCTACTCACCCAACAGGAACCACAAGCAGATTGATCAGCAATGGAACCAATAACACTAGAGCATTCTGGCCAGTTGGTACGTGCATCAAACGACTCAGGAATTTCTATGTCTTTGCTGTGGACAGTAGGTTTCGCTTTTGAAATTGACTTACGAGCACCCATACGTTTTTTAATTTCGCTAATGGGCATGTTTTCATCAAAATTTCTACCGGCTTTCCAGTCATTTTGTTGGCTGTTGATGTGATTGATGAACTCATCTGAGAGAGGATTCATTTTAATGTTGGTTGCTAGGGCAGCTGACAACAGAAAAGACAGACATAAGGTTATCCTCATTTTGAAAAACCTAAAAATAAATATTACTTCGTTAAATTTAAATATTTATTTGCATGTACATTAAAATCTCGAAATCCAGGAAACAAAAATAAATTGTCAAGGTCTAAAATTCGTTTAACTAAATTAATTTACTTCTTTTCGTTACACAAAATTGCTATTGCCAAAAAAATGCTTAAAATTAAAAGTGTTAAAACCAATTGAGTCTCGGTATACTTAGAATGTTGAAATAAATGAATTTACATTAAAATCTGATAAGCTGTTGACAATTATTTTGACATTTGAATTTGAGGTACACTTGACTACCACGTGAAAAATTACGTTGTTGGCCCGCTGACGTATTCACTTTAAAGACTAATTCCTGGAGCAGCCTACCTATCAACACATCAACACTTTTCTAACACATTATAAATCAAACCACAACATCTTATCTTTTAAAATATGCAAAGGATTCGAAATATTAAATGCTTTTTATAATATATCAATGTCACTTGTTTTTTGATTTTCGTAGAATACTCACTTGACTTTATTTAAATAAATTAAATCTAGAAGTAATACAATTAATTTATCGCGACTATTACTAGGTATATATAACTCAAGAACATCATGATAAATGAATTAAAAAACGTAATCTTTAATCAGCTACTTTTTTGTTTTGAAAAATATAAATAAAGGGGAATCATTTATGTTTTTTCGCCTATTTTTTGGTTTTCGTAGAAATAAAACTCACCTTATTTATATTAATAACTTCGCAATAATCAATTTATATTGTTTCTTATTTTTTGGGTTACATCCTAATAGGATAATCTACCCAGAACTGAAATGATCAGTCATATGATTTTATTAATATTATATTTTTTGATACTTAAAACCACTCAAGAACTTAAAAAATGATTAAAAAATGTAATCTTCAATCTGCCCCCTATTCTTAATTTTTGAAAAATAAAAAATAAAGGAGAATTATTTATGTTAATGGTGTCTAAATAGAACGATAATAGGTTTATTTTGCTTTAAAAACATTAATATCAATGTTTTCATTTATATCATTTTTGATTCACATAATACTGGATAAGCAAAATTTTTCGTAAAGTCCATGTAAAAATATTTGGACCTTTTGTCCCTTAAACCTATCTATGTATAAATATTTGGGTTCTTTGCTCCTTAAGCCTGCCCATGTAAAAGTATTTGGTCCCTTTAAGCCAGCCATGTAAACATAATATTTGGGCTCTTTATCTTTTTGGTTCTAACATCAAATTCATATACGAATTCAATTCTAGAGTACCTACGTGTAAAATGTATCGCTACTTCATCATCCTGTATATTATTCGCGTGAGATTTACATTTATTTAATATCTGGAGCTGTCATTTTCACTTACCCATACAGCACACATTATTTCAGAAGTGTTTCAGAAATATTTGAAACGTTTTTAACGTATAACATTTCAAGCACAAGTTTCTGAAATATTTCTGAACTATTTTAGTTAAATATTTCACTGAAAATGTTTCTGAAACATGGTATAAATGTTACACAAAAGGTTACTAAATGGGTTATATTGTAAAAGGCCAACACTTGATAAGGAATTTCTGATTTGTAAGAAAAGGACGAAAAAGAAAATGGGTTATGTAGTCATTTTATTTCATTCTTAGGGCATACTAAGATTTCATCCTTATATCCTTAGACTAGGTAATCCTAGTCTAAGTTTATGTCCAACCAGAGTCAACCCTATAGTCTAAATAATTAAAGGTTTGCGTTTGTTGTAGAGATTTTTCGTTTGATTCTTTTTGTATTTATATATTGAAAGCAGAATATGTCTTTAGAAACTGAGATGAGTTTACTACAGAAATAAAGCTTGTGAGTTGGTTAGGTTGATTTACTCATTTACTGTGACGAGTGACGCCATTTCGTTTATCAAATTTACATGCAGTTTTAGTCTCATTTTTATCTAAATATAACCTAAGTATAAGAAATCAAATTAAAATGAATAAATCAATGTATTTGAAAAAAAAAGATATTTAGCATCTGGTTTTTATTAGTGTTAACTCCAAACGTCCAATTAAACAATCTAAAATTTTATTTTATTATAAATATCCAATTATTGCTTTTTGTTTTCCCGATGAAACTACGCCTCTGGAAATTTTCTACGTTCACAACAAACAACCTAAACATTCTACGATATATTTGTAACATCGTCCAACATTTAGGATAAGCCTTTCTCTTTATATATATATATATATATATATATATATATATATATATATATATATATATATATATATATATATATATATATATATATATATATATATATATATATATATATCTTAGCTATGTGTGTTTCAGGAATTAGAGCCCATGGGCTTTCAGAATTTCTTTTACAATACTTGTTTTGTTTTTTTTTATTTTATTTTTAATTTGAACAAATTTATATACAGGGTGAATCCTAAATTTATACTTTTTTTAACAGTGTAAAGAAGTCGTTAAAATAAACAGCTTTTTCAAATAATTTACTGAAAAAAAATTAAAAAGACAATGAAAATAATTTTTCCTATGACCACTTGGGAAATTGACACGTATCACACGCGTATGAACAATAATTATTTACTTTCACCCGTGTGCGAATATGCTACTTTCCGCATCAACTGTCACAAAATGTCAAACGCATCATTTCTATTTTGATCTATGTAATGTCCATATTAATACTAAAATCGATATGATTGTTAAATGTATCTGTAATATGTTAAGGTTGGGTCACCCTTCTCCCCAAAGCACTCATGCCTCACTAGGTCCATTGTGCATCCTCCTAAGATGATAGACACCTCATAGCTCGTGAGCCAGCCCATAGATTTAATGTAATTAACAACGTCGCCAAGAGGGACTTCTCTTATATCCCTAAGTAAATTGGTAGTCTGCTTAGAGTGAGTAGTGCTTGTCTGCTATCTATATAAATGAGCATGTTCCTTCCAGTGATATTGTTTCTGGATTAAGTACAGCATGTATATTAAAACAAAAATATTAAGATATCGATAGAATTTTATTGAAACGTAATAAATATCTAAACTAGAGGTAGCGCAGCTTCTATCTCGTCTTCGATGCCAGATTCACCAACACCTCTTCTGATTTTAAATATACCGTCATCGCCCCAATCTTCGTTCCAAGAGTTAGCAACTAGCCAATAAGCAACGTTGTTTTCGGTACCCCATCCAAAGATTCTTACTGCGTGTAAACCTAAGTAGTTTCCAGTAACGTGATGATAGACACCTAAAAATATTATATTAAGTTATGCGAAGATTTATTTGATCATAATTAGACTATTTAGCAGAATACCATCTAAAATATATTATGTATATAAATTCAATAATATGTGAAATAAGTTAATTGACTTATTTATTTCTTGTACACCCAAATATGTGTGCAAAGTGAAAGACTCCTATTTCATTTTTTAATATTGTTAATATATTACTCCAATAAATAACTCGTAAGTCATTATAGGACTAGATACAGCAGTTCCGTCTAGAGAGCAACGACATCCAGCGACGTGTAGTTCATATAAGCCACTTCTCTATTTTGAGGAATGTAACAGAAGAACCGTTTTAACTATCTCCTGTACTATTTGCTATTTTGGATACACAAGGATTTCTATTTACTGTACAAACTGAAGAATAAATAGGCTACTGAACGGATATATCATATCTATATCAGTAAGATGAGAGGGTGTGTTGTCTTACAGCATTTGGATCTTATTAGGTAGATTGTGAACCTTCTGAATCGATAAGGCATCTCTTAGCTCATCAAGCAGCCTATAGCTTTTATGCAGTTGGCTTCACCGGTGTTAATCAATACTGGACCAACAAAAATCTCCTAATAGATGAGTGTCAGAAATACAGAGGAAGTGCTGGATATTTTCATTTTCTTCTTCACACATCTATCGAAATGCAGTATCTGATAGCCCTGTCTTGTGGTACTGCTTCACGTATTTATTTGTTGAGACAAAGTAACATAACGTCTCCCTGGCAAGTCTACATTGCATTTTAAAAAGGAAAGTCCCTTCATTAGGTTTGTCGCTACAAAAGTGAGGACCAAAAAGTGTTTGGATGGCTAGAGAAACGGTTACCTTTCGATTTAACGTGACCCTTGAGAAATCTTAACATATTGAAGGATACCTTAGGTTTTTATATTGGCACTAGCAGCATATTCCGCAAAGCGTATGGTGTTTCTTTGGGCACCGATGTGATATGACGCATTTGCTTTATGGTTCTTTAATTCGACTAACACAAAGCGTCTTTTTGAGATCATACCTGTGTATATGTGGGTGTCTTTGAATGTGTTAAGGTGATCACACTGTTGCTGGATACTTCAACAAAAATAGGGACATTCTAGTACTAACAATTAGTAACTAAAATTCGTAGTCTGTTCAAGGTGAGCAGCGCTTGTCTGATATCTATCTAGATGAGCATACTCCTTCCAGTGATATTGTTTCTGGTGATTTATTTTGTTATTAACTGTAACCTCAGCACTATTGTTTATATACTCAGATAAACAAATGAAAAATAGATACCGAACGGGCTCCGTTTAACACAGGCTTTGTTTGAAGCCAGTATCTACAAACTTTTGACAGCTGTGGTACTGTGGTCTACATGGGCGTATCAAGTAGTTTTTTCATCGGAATCCCGAAGGATTACTTTGTAACTGACGGATTTAAAGAAAAATGCAACTCAAACATAAAATTTTATTTTACAAAAAGTAAACTACGCTATTTTTTAATGAAATTATAAGGAAATAACACGTAATGTAATAGCTTTCTATGTGTTTTAACTTAACTCTTTGATAGGTAGCGATATTTGAGTTCGTGTGTAGATTGTGAAATACAAAAATAATAAAAATAGGGATAAAGGCCATTTTTCGGCGCAATCTATTAGGTTAGGGCATATTATATGTTAAAATGGCAGTCTTCCTCCTGGCATTTCGACAATATAATAAAATTATCAGGATACAATAAGTCTAAGTATAATTATAATTACATCAAAGTTTATTAATACTACAGCAGGTTAGGGTAACCATACATACAGCATTTCACTATATTTGCTGCGTTTGAAAAGTAACTTCTTTTTACTCGAAGTCGTTCTTTTATTATATCTGTGGCTTCTCGATAATATCTGCTCCGTGATCTTTTAATGCAGAGCTGGTACGTCTACTAAGATCTATTTACTCCGAATTAAGTTTAAGAGAGAAATATTAATAAAAAACTTCAGACAGAAATTAGAACATGGTTTATTTTTTAGTGAAAGCAAAAGGCGAAAAATATCACAGCTAAAAATTCACATTAAATTTGATTTAAAAGAAAGGTTTAAGTTTATTATTTTAATGAAAACCGAAAACAACCAAATCCATAGCCGGTCTTTTATTTCACATAATTTCGATGATCACGTGACTAAAAAATCTAACTCTACTCCGCTCCAGGAGGTACTTTTTAAACGTAGCAATTGTACAACCCTTTTTACTGAAATGTAACAAATAAGACAAAAGCGTAATACATATGACTTCTCTGTTGTATTAATCTAAAAAATAGGTCCACCGGTCCAC